GTAAGTAGCGAACTATTTTCCGTTATAACTCGAAAACTAAGCTTCGGACAAAATTTTGCAAAAGGAAAAATCGTCTTAGAATTCGTTCAAGAACATGACATTTCAAGGACATCAGGTTATTTCGAATCACCCTGTATAGGCTATTGCAGCTGCATATGATTGTATTATGTCAGGCCAATGTGAGGACGCAATAGTTGGAGCCGTAAACCTTTGCTTACAACCTATGTTACATATGCAATTCTTTCGGCTTGGTATTATTTTCACTAAAATTACTTAATTTTATAATACAAGTTAATTTAATATACTATATTTGATATACTATATTGAACAAATACATACTGTACATAATTTTAGGTGTTTTATCTTCTGATGGATATTGTAGGCCATTTGATACTGCCGCAAGCGGTTATTCGCGTTCCGAAGCCGTGTCGGTAGTATATCTTCAAAAAGCTAAAAATGCGAAAAGAATTTATGCTATATGTAAACAGATTAAACTAAATAATGACGGTTACAAAGAACAAGGAATAACATTTCCATCGTCGCACATGCAAAGTGCCTTATTAACAGAGTTTTACAATGAGTGCAAAATACCACCATCTGACTTGGATTACATCGAAGCACATGGTACTGCTACTAAAGTTGGCGACCCCGAAGAAATCAATGCTATTCGTAACGTTCTGTGTCAAAATAGAAAAATCCCATTGATGGTGGGATCCGTAAAATCCAATCTTGGTCACGCAGAACCTGCCAGCGGCTTCACACAAATCGCTAAGGTAAAACAATTTATTTAACAAATTATTTTATTATAACATAAAGACAAACAGTTTAGAATAACAAACAAAATAAGACATTTAAAACAATTACAAATTACCAAAATAATTCTTTTATGTAATTTTACCATTATATTTTTTTATGTAACATTTTTAAGATAGAAAGAAATATTTCAAATAATAACTATTAACATTGTTAAAAAAGAACATTAAATAGTTGTAATCCTTTAATTTAAATGTAATTACCAATTTCATCAATAAAATAAAAACTATAAAGTCTTTATTTATTCAAGAAAGGTAATCTTTTAGATATAAATAAACACAAAGATTCTTATGCTAAAGCGTTTTAGTATAGCAAATATTATGTTTCGTGTTATTAATCTTATAACTGTCTAACTACAAAAAAAAGATCAAGTACTATAATTAATTCAAATTTATATATCAAAATTTATTAATTTTTGTAGGTGATAATAGCATTTGTGTTGAAACATTCTTTTTGACTTTCGCGCCAATTATATTTTCTTTTGGCTTCCGCCGATATCGCATCGGACCCCGCTACGATGCAGGCGCCTCTATTAACGACGTTCACGCCGTATTATTATTATTCTTCTCAGTTCTCATGTTATGTTCACCGGCGCTCTTACGTATACACGTGTTAGCTTGTTCGCGCCTATGTTCCTTTTTTTGTACTCTCGTATAATATATACTTTTCATTTGTTAGTGTCATTACAGTTCATTTTCATTCCCGAATCTTTCGTGTAACAGGTTATGGGCCCAGGCCCGCAAGACTTATTAGGAAGTGCTTTCTTTCTCGTCTTTTCGTGAAACGTTTATTTTGTTTCCTCGCGAGCCGACATATTCCTTTGCTACCTTGCGATTCGGTCGAGCTGTTGCCAACTGTGTGCTTTTTTCAACGACACATTGGACAAATACAGAGTGCAAAATGAGTGAGAATTCAGACTTGAGAAATATAACAAAGTTCGATGGACAAAACTTCCAGTTATGGAAATTCCAAATGAAGGCCATCTTTGTCGCACATGATCTCTTAAAGATTGTCGAGGGTATCGAAGTTAAACCAGAAAACCCGGACGACCTTCGAAATGCTTGGACAAAAAGGGATGCCCGAGCAATGTTCATTATATCGTCCTCAATGGAATATTCGCAACTCGAGTACCTTATCACGTGCACGACAGCAGCAGAGATGTGGACGAAGCTTAGCTCTATCCATGAGCAGAAAAGTGCATCAAACAAATTAACGCTTACGACAAAATTCCATGAATACCGCATGGCGCCTGGCGATTCTATTGCTCAGCACATTGCCAAAATCGAAAATATGGCAAATCAGTTAAAAGACATTGATGAAAACGTATCGGACATTATGATAATGGCCAAAATACTCGGAACCTTACCTTCAAAATACAACGCCCTTATCTCGGCTTGGGACAGCGTGAACGCAGCGGAACAAACACTCCCCCGGCTACGAGAAAGACTGATACGAGAAGAAGCCCGAATGACATCGATGGATGAAACGAGTAATGCCCTGGCGACGACGAGCATCTCAACGAACAAACAGCAGAAGCAGCGCCAACCTCGAAGCCAACCACATAGCAACGATTCAACGACATTTAAGAAGAAAATTGTGTGCAATTTTTGTCATAAAACCGGCCATATTGCAAAGTACTGTTTCGCGAAAAGAAAGACATTGAAAACAACGGACAAAAATAAAGACAATAAAAGTGACGATTCGACTAATTCCACCGCGTTCATAGTGCAAGACAACAAAATAATTGATAGAGAAATAGCAATATTTTCCGAACTCGACGAAGGCCACGTTTGGCTTCTCGATAGCGGCGCGTCGCGGCATCTTTGTTGTCAAAAAGAGTGGTTTACAAATTTGTTACCGTGCAACAACGAATATGTCTATCTCGGTGACGGCAGAAACTTAAAAGTCGAAGGTCGCGGAAGCATTCTTATTTCTCGACTAGTCAATAATGAGTGGCTTGATGGTGAAATCAACGATGTTTCATATGTTCCATATTTAAGAAAAATCTTTTTTCCGCTGGCACATGCACCTCTAAAGGCTTTTCTATTACCTTACGTAGTGACCACGCAGAAATACTTTCGAAAGATGGACAAATCGTTGCACACGGTATCAAACGAAGAAATAATTTAATACTTCTACTGATAAAACCGAGAATGAAAACCGCAGTAATCTATGCGCCTTTAGCGCCTTTAAAAATATGGCACGAACGCCTCGGCCACGTTAATTGCAATTCGCTTACTAAAATGATATCGAACGGTTCGGTCACAGGAATAAATTTATCAAATAAGAAAAGTTTCTTTTGCGAAGACTGTCCGTTAGGCAAACATGCAAGATTATCATTTACATCAAATAAAGCAAAAAGCGATATCGTTCCTGGCGAAATAGTCCATGCCGACTTATGCGGCCCGATGCAAACACCGTCGATTGGTGGAGCAAAATTTTTCTTATTATTCAAAGATGAATGTTCAGGTTATAAAACAGTTTTCTTTTTGAGACATAAAAGCGATGTTTTCGATTACTTAAAAGATTTCCTTAACTTAGTTAAAAATCAATTTGGAAGAAACATAAAAGTCCTAAGAGCCGATAATGGCACTGAATTCACAAATTTAAACACTCGCAATTTATTAAAGGAACGAGGCATAAAATTACTCACATCAGCACCTTTTACCCCGGAACAGAACGGACGCGTAGAACGCGAAATGCGCACAATCGTAGAAAGCGCACGTTCAATGCTTTTAGCGCGAAATCTTCCTAAAAATCTTTGGGGTGAAGCCGTTAACACGGCAGTTTACATACTAAACAGAACAGTACCCGCGTATCTCAAAAAGACACCAATCGAAGTTTACATGAACAAGAAACCTGATTTATCGCATATTAAAACATTCGGTTGCAACGCGTATGCTCATGTTCCTAATATTTCACGCAAAAAATGGGATCCTAAATCAGAAAAGAAACTCTTTGTTGGTTATGAAAAAGACACGCATAATTATAGATTATTAGACACGCGAACAAAACGCATTACGATTTCTAAAAATGTTATTTTTGACGAGTATCCGACTAACGAAACAAAAACAAAAGGAGTTTGGATATCTATCAATCACGACACCGAAATTGTAAACGACAATGGTCCCCACGAAGTAGAAATGTTAGATAATTCAGATATTTTTGAAGATGCGATAGGTCCACCGCCAGATCAAGTCACTGACAGATCAGAGCAGCATTTCGACGAGCAGCGCGATGGACAGGAACGATATTACTTACGCGATCGTAAAATCTACACGCACCCGAGCGTTACGCGGCCTACGCACTATCATGCGACACACCGAACACTTATAAGGAGGCTATCACTAGTAAAGACAAAAGTCAATGGATAAACGCAATCGAAAAGGAACTAAAAGCTCATGAAGATAATCAAACATGGGAAATTACCTCACTCCCTAAAGATCGAAAACCGATAGGCTACAAATGGGTATTCAAAATAAAAGATTCATCCAACAAAAATGTGTCACATTATAAAGCGCGCTTGTGTGCCCAAGGTTTTTGCAACAAGCCGACGTAGATTATAGTGAAATCTTTTCTCCAGTTGTAAGATATGAATCAGTAAGACTCTTGTTAGCGATAGCAGCAAAAGAAAATTAAAATCGATTCAATTTGATGTAAGCACAGCTTATCTGAACAGTAACTTAAAAGAGACTACATATATGAGAATTCCAGATGGACTGAATGTCAGAGGAGAGAATCTAGTATTAAAATTAAAAAAGGCTATTTACGGTTTAAAACAATCAGGTCGTTGTTGGAACGAAAAATTTGATACTTTTATAAAAAGCAACGGATTCTCTCAATGTGCTTCAGATAAATGTGTATATACAGCAAATTACGAAGGAGATAAAGTGTACTTGGCCCTCTATGTAGATGAC